GAAACAGTTGAAATTTTTGGAACACATCATGAAGAAAGAGTGTTTGGAGAATTTGACACTCACAAGTCATACTTCAAGAAAGAACGACAGAGGGAAACAATGAGTAACTTCTATAACGAGCTTACGTACTTGGATGTAAGAATATGAACAGGGAGGGATATTAAGGGGTCAGACGTTGTTTAGGGCTACAAGGGGTAGGAAGTCGTGGAGAACTATAATCTCCCTGAAGTCATATATAAAAGAAGATTTACAAACCGAATATACAGCTATAAGTATAGCAATGACAATCTTGACAAGTTCAGAAATTAAAATGAAAGCATTTATGAAGTAATTAAATACTCACCACTAACGATGCACTGTTACTGCATTGGGAGACAAAAGATGAAGAACAGTTGATGCGGACTGATTTTCTTTTTAGTTTGCTATAATGCTCCGATATTTCCTTGTGTCAACTTCATAATTGTTACGTTAAATAACTTAGGAGTTTTCCTTTCGAAGGAATGTTTAATACAAAAGTAGTTTCGGCGACGGACAGAAAAATAATGTGTAAAAGCGGATGCAAAAAAAAAAAAAAAAAAAAAAAAAGAAAACAAAAAAGGATTTTCCACAGGCGTTTCCAAGAAAACCATCAAGTAAAACTTTTATTAGTGGCAACCTTAAAAAATCCCGGAACTCAACGAAACCAAATACAAACAAATGTTGTGTTGATAAACAATACGTAATATTTTAGAGCATTCTAACTTTTACTGATAACTTGAATGCATTTTTTGAATATCTCGAAGTTCATATGACTTAACTCTCTTTTTAGCACAACTGGGCATAGCATTAGTGGTACAGCAAAGATTAAGACAATCAGAGATCAAAGTCGATTCAAGTTTAATATACCTGCTTCCCTCAATTAGAAGGATGTTCCAGAAAGTACCAGGAGTCCTTCACTCTCACTGTCCTAGAAAGAAGTAGGGGTCCCTCACACCTAGGGGTCTAAATGCACGGCTAGACAACAACCCTATATATATATTCGGATCTTACTATGGTCAATTTGTCAGGAAGGAGACTTCCTGATATTATCTGTCAGGTGCGATCCCAGCGTGCAGCACCTTTGGAAAGTGTGTGAAAGCCATACCAGAGGTTGACCTAAGCCTTATGAGTGTAGACGGAACCCTTAGGGGCCATCGAAGGCTGTGCTAGCATGAAGTCGCAAGTCATCATGACAGAGCATTCTGGCCTTGTTCAGATTGTTGATCATGCTAGATAACACATTCTCCCAGAAACTGCAGCTAAGGTCTTCTCAGTATAGTTGGAGTATAAACCATTGGTGGGTTATGTAGGTGTTGAAAAACACAAATGCGCTTGTGTGGACGTCTGCAATAGGGATTGTCTAGTCGCCCTAGTAGACGTTGGCTGTTGGCTCCTATAAGAAGCTCATCAGGTTTTTTTTTATCCATCCTGCGAGCTGACCTGCCACCCTCTTCACCAGTAGAAAAGCTGGTGGGGTCGGTTTAGACGTTGACCAAGTGTTCATGTATCTATAACAGACAGAAAAAGAGACACATAACACACACACACACACACACACACACACACACACACACACACACACACACACACACACATCATGGATTACACTTATGAAAGTATAACAAATGCAACTGAAAAATCACACAGTGCCGTCATTATGCAACTAGTATATATATTGGTTTGAAGATCGTTTGTGATGTGAAACTGACAGTCACTCTGCAGTTGATTTCTATGTCTACACTGTCTATATCTATGTTCGCGTGGCTGTCCAGTTTTTGTTATACATGTAATATTTGATATATATAAGTTTATTTACCAAAATACAAATAATCTTCTATAATTTCTCAGGGTAACTCTAACAAAAACATAGATGGCACTATGTAAAGGTTCAAATATCAAAAAGTAACAGTGATGTGTTCATTTTGGAAAATTTTTATTTACAGAAATTTAGAATACTAGCAGCATGGACCGGCGTTGCTCGTGCTTGATTCAAAAATAGTACGACTAATACAGCAATCGCTATCACTTGACTTATTTTTGCCCTTCCTTGCCTTTAGAGGAGTGCCCTTTGCCGTGCTGATGTTGTTACATGCCTTACTTCTTGCCTATATCACACTGCCAACTTTTTCTAAGCTCTATAGTAAACCTTAAATCTGTTACGAAAAAAGAACTAAACAAAATAGACACAATACGATCAGCTTTAAAAAGCAGGAAAAAACATTTTTAAGGGTTGACCGATTGTCGATTTGCACTCTGTTTGGGAGGTGCTCAGAGTTGAAACTTCACATGATGACTCCCAATGGCCTCTTCATAAATCCACTCGGTTTTCGCTAAAAACCGACATGCGGTTCAGACGCAATCTGGGCGTATCGGTTTTTGGGTTTTATCGATTTTCCGCGCTGTTTAGGGGTCCGTGGTCATGAAACTTTTGGGCAACACTTCTAATGGTAGACTCTAAGAGGGTGTCAAATTTGGTTGAAATGCGATCATTCCTTCTGTAAGCAGAATTTTTTCGATTATCGATTTTTTCGGAACCTGATTCCGAACTCAAAAATCGGGCTCCGTCATGTCCTTACGGCAGCCATTTGCAAACTTGTGTTGAAAACCGCATCGAAATCGGGTGAGAAATGTGGCCTGGGCGAGGTAACAACGCCCACGACAGACACACAAAGAGACAACATGAGAAATATAGATAGTAGATTAATAAAGTGAGAAGACATCCTTTCAATGACTTCAGTGGTAAAATATTAGATGATGTATTGATATTTTGTATAATACGCGTCTGATGGCAAAACAGACGATCATTTTTTGTTGCCGCTCTTTTTCATGGAATTGGAAGCTGCAGACGACCCCATTTTTATCAGAGGATTTTATCCTCGGTCGTTTAAGACGTTTTTTATTCTGGCTCCGTGGTTAACTAATTTAGTTTGCCACGTAAAACAAAGTGTTACCTTTAATAATTCGACTTACAGTATCGAATTATTTATAGAGTTAATATTTATTTAGCTTTTAATAGCTATATTACTAGTTTTATTTATGGATGGGAAGAGGGGAGGGTGAATTTTCGCATCGAAGGACTTTGTGAGAAAATTTTATTAGCTTCGGTAGAATTCCGTAGCTGAGATTTGTTTATATTTGAAAAAAAATTGAAAACAAAATTGAAGAAAAGATTTTGTTAGCTTCGGTAGAATTCCGAAGTTAAAAGATGTAATTTAATTCCCTAGAAGGGGAATTATTGCATTTGATTTATTTGTTTGTTGATTCGGAGAGTCAAAGTTTCTTTTTGCTCTTATTCACATTCTTTACTTTAAAATAAGATTTAAAATATTTTAAAGGATATTCTTCATGGAATAAGAAGATTTTGAGATCCTAGACTAGGTTAGGCTTTGTGTTTTCTAATTTGCACTTTCAGCTCCCGAGAAAGTGAAAAAGAATTTAAAAAAAAGAAAAAGAAAGAAGAAAAAGAGAAATGTATTTTAAGAAAGAAGGAAGAACATAAAAGAATCTGAAGAGATTGACAGACAGATGTTAAAAGATTTTATAACAAGATTTGTTTATTGTAAAGAAAAGGTTGAAAAAAGATGTTTGAGTTGTCTGCTTACGGAATGATACATTCTAGGCTGACAACATTATTTATGTAAGTAAAAATCCTTTTGTTTATTTTTGTTTGTTACTACTTAGCATATGGAACAATATGCATATAATTTTTGATTTGTTAAAATAAATATTTATCTGTGAACAGTATATTTTGGTTTTTATCTAATAATTTTAAGATCGTCTGCTTCATTGAGTAGTTTTGTTGTTACTTTCCTATGAAGAAGCCGAATACGAAATCCGCAGTTTAGTCCTGTGTATTAATATATTTAATTATAATTTAAATATATTAATTTAAGATCGTACAGGGGTAAAACTTAAATTTAATTGAGAATTTAATTTTTCATTTAAATTTGTGTTTTTAACATTCCAGGACAAGATAATATTTTTTCTTCATTTCAAACCTGGACGTTTTATATTTATGTATACACAAAGTGCACTTTAAATAATTGGTACAAATGTGAACTATCTAGGGAAAGAAATCCCAGCTTTCTAAATGTGAATTTATTTACTTCAAACAGCAGCAACAATAATAAAAATGCGTAGTGCATATAATTAGAAGGAAAACGAAGAAGCTCTTAAATTTCAACGCTATATAAAAAAACAAAACAAAAAAACAAAAAACAACAACAACAAAAAAGAGAGATAGAGAGGTTTGGAAGGAATCTCTAATCAGTAATAGAAAGAGCTATGACAGTTATTGGACTTGAGAAGTTTGATTTTTACGAAAAACTGTTTGAAGAAAGATATTTACAAATTTCAAAACTTGTCGAACTATCTAGGAAGTAATATAACAGATGATAGAAATCTGAAGATGTCTTGGAATAGAAAAAGTTGCCTTCCAGTAATTAAGCACAATATTAAGAAATAGAAAATTTTGTTAGAATAAAAAATAAGAATGCTCAACTTCCTAACAGATAAAGGAGAGAAAGGGGAAACAGAGATATGATTCTATAGAAGAATTCTGAGAATACCGGGGAAGGAACATATGAGCAGCGAAGACGTTTTAAGAAAAATGGCAAAGGAAAAGGACACTGTTGCGTAGATACAGTTGAAATTTATGGAACAAATCATGAGGAAAGAAGGTTTGGAGAATTTGACACTCACAAGTAATAATGAAGGAAATAACGACAGAGGGACACAGTGAGTAACTTCTATAACGAACTTGCGTACTTGGATGAAAGAATATGAACAGGGAGAGATAATAAGAGGTTAGACGTTGTTTAGAGCTACAAAGGATAGGAGAACCATAATTACCCTGAAGACACATATAAAAGAAGAAGATTTACAAACCGAATATCCAGCTATAAGTATATCAATGACAATCTAGACAAGTTCAGAAATTAAAATGAAATTGTAAAAAATTTATGAGGCAATTAAATACTCACCTCTAAAGATGTACTGTTCCTGCATTGGGAGACAAAAGATGAAGAACAGTTGATGCGGACTGATTTATTCTTTAGTTTGCTATAATGCTCCGATATTTCCTTGTGTCCACTTTGTAATTGATATGTTAAACAACTTAGGAGTTTTCCTTTTGAAGGAATGTTTAACACAAACTAGTTTCGGTGATAGATATAAAAATAATGTGTGTAAAAGCGGATGTAGAAAAAAATATAGTCACAAGATTTTTGGGTTAAGTACCTTATTGTTCAGCTAGTATTTCAGGAAAAAAGCGTTTCACAGGCGTTTTGAACAAAGTGTGTAAATAAAACTTCAATTGATGCAATCTATTAGAGAAAAACCGGAACTGAATGAAACCAAAACCACGCAATTATTGTCTTGGTAAACAATAAGTAATACTTTTAGAGCATCCCAGCATTTACTGATATCTGGAATGCACTTTTTGAATATCTTGAAGTTCCGATAGTTCAAAGAAAAGCACTTATATATATGATAGAAGTCGATTTGTGATCTAGGAAGAACACCCACAGAAAACCCACAAGAACATTTTAGGGATGATTTCCAAGACGTTCCTCTGCGTTAATATTTTTAAGTGCATATAACCCACACAGCTTAACCCACTTTTCTTCACAAATGCATGTAGCACAACAAAGATGAAGACAACAAGAGGTCAAGTAGCTTCAAGTTAAATATACGTGTTTCTCTCTTTTAGAAGGATTTACTATAAAGAACCAGGAGTCCTCCACTCCCCAGGGTGTCCTAAAATGTAGTAGAGGTCCCTCACATGCTAGATTTTTAACCGCGTACTTGGACACTAACCCAATATATATATATATATATATATATATATATATATATATATATATATATATATATATATATGTGTGTGTGTGTGTGCGTGTGTGTGTGTGTGTTTTAGGCAGCAAATTCTCTTTTAGGCCTGTCTGATTAAATAAATTACAGACACTATGTCTAATTAATTTTAATAAAATCCGTTCATACTCACGAATAACCTTCCGTGTATTGATGTTAAAGGATGAGAGTAACGTGCTATAGCTGTTTAAATTTCTTTTATTTTCATTTCCCAAGTACTTTCGATCTTCTTCCAAGATGATCTTCAGGGGTGCAAGTAGTATAAAACTATATGTTGTTCATTAGTACAAGTATTTATACTAAATTATGCGTTGTTATTCATTACCGTAATTTTTTCATTATGCTTTTAAATGCAAAGTGGTTGACAATGTGCCGAGCGTTCATTAGAACGTGAAAAAAATTATCCTTATGGAATTTTTTCATGTTACAATGTCATGATCATGTGCGCATTAAAGCGTGAAAAACAGAATCAAATATGAATACGGCAGTAATGTTCTGAAATGCCTGTAAAAGAACAGTTTTTCACGCTTTAAACCTAACTTTCACGCAAAAAAAAACAACTTTCCACTTCGCCCTATTACATCCCAAATCCCCACTCCTATCTTCCAACTAACTAAAACGTTTAACCAATTAATCACACCATACAAACCTAACAAATACAGCATTAAATTAACACTTGAACTTATACAAATATTAAAAACTGAAACTCCTAATAATGAAATCATAGCATCACTTGATTTTGAAGATCTTCATATATATATATATATATATATATATATATATATATATATATTGATTTGGGTGAAATGACTAATATATATATATATATATATATATATATATATATATATATATATATAATTCCTGCATGTTAGTAGCAGTGAACTACAAGAATGAATGACTATCTTTCATTTCTTTTTATCGTTAATTTTGGTTAAGTTCTTGTGTTGGTCAAATGGTCTCTTTTAAGTTGTTTTTAAGATAGGCCGTTTTAGGTTTATATATATATATATATATATATATATATATATATATATATTCTCTCTTCAATAAAGTTTGCTCATTTTCTTACACTCTCAGTAACCCCTCGTGTCAACGTCAGTATTTGCTTGACTCAGCGACTGGACTAAATTTGGTGAACAACTGCGCTTTGAAATATTCTGACGGAACGTTTAGGGTCCTGCACAAAGCTCCGTCCACTAAACATTTACGTATTCTAGAAGCTGTTTAGATAAGCTTCATCGACTAACTTTGTGCAGGCAGAAGGAGGGCGTGGGTTTTGAGTTAATTTTTTTCTGTTTTATACTCGCTAGGAGGTTTATTTCATCGATTGTTTTTTGTTCTAGTAATAAATTTATTTTAGTCCTGTCTCCTTATTTACCTACCATTCATTTTTTTTCAGTTTCGACGTTTATGATTCTTTTTTGTATGTTTGTTTTTGTTTTTTTAAACGAATTTTTCTGAAGACGTGTTGGACAAAAACGACGGTTCCTCTGAAAGAAAAAGAATGCTTTCCTTCATTTTTAAAACAATATATATATATATATATATATGTGTGTGTGTGTGTGTGTGTGTGTGTGTGTGTGTGTGTGTGAGTGTGTGTGTGTGTAGAACCTATACCTAAATCTAACAATTTCAACTGTTAAATGATAAGACCTAACTACTAATCTAGTACTGCGCTTAAATTGGCAAATTCGATGTACCAAAGAAAAAAGCTCATCAGAACAGTAGCCATGAAGATATTTATAGAAAAATAACAGGGAAGCTACTTTACGGCGGTAATTGTTGACAATGCAACTATACTCCTTCGATCCTGATCCGACATCTCGACTTAAGTCACTTTCTCACCGACGTGACGTGGCATCCCTCTGTCTTTTTTACAAATATTTTCATGGCGAGTATTCTGATAAGCTTTTTTCATTAGTGACTTGACTCTATTGTTTTTTAGCGTGCTACTAGATTCGCACCTAGGCATCACTGTTTTATTGTTGAACTTGCTAGATGCAACTGTCTCTTCTATTCTAATAGCTTCTTTTCTCGCACTTCTCGCCTGTGGAACTTCCTTCCGATTTCTAGATTCCTTGCAACCTACAATCTTTAAATATTTAACGGTAACGTCAATCGTCATCTATTTTCCTGAATCATGTTACTTTATTGTCCTTTCCTAACTTCTCACTAAAGTTTTCTCACTTTCTTTCACTCCCAGTAACTCCGTGGTTCCTAGTGACATTATCGTTTATCGGGAACTGAATTTGAAAAACAAACAGCTGCAAAAAGTGTTTAAAAATGTTTTCATAAAAAACAAAACAAAATAGAAACTCATAAACAATAAATCTTGTTTTAAACACGGTGCACACGTGTTAAAAATATCTTTCAACTGTCAGGTCATTTTACCGCGTCTTGCTAAAATTTATTCCATCCCCATAGCATGTGAGCCTAAGTTCAAAATCTGAGCTGTTAAACACAAATGCTCCATTGTCTTCCATCTTCTTTTCTTAAATACAAAATTACCAACCATAGACAAGTACGCGGAAAAGGCTTAACGATGGTCGTAAGTAGACATCAATTTCATCATTTCCTGTCCATTCTCTTCCGTAAATCTTGCATAAACGAAGTGGATTTACTCAACAAATAACAGGACCCATAGAAGTGAGAAATAAATTTCTATACATCTTTCGAAAACAGAAACGATGATCTAGAATTAGAATGAGGTTAATGATGGCACCAGGTCCGCTTCAATGTACTAGGTAACTCGGGCAGTCGCCCGGAGCGCCATCAAGGCCGAAGGAGACATCATGCCGCCGTGTATTGATCTTCCAAAACTAAAGCTTATAAAAACATATTTGCGGTCATCGATGACTCAAAAAAGATGAAATTCTTTGGCTATTTATGCCAACAGAAAATGATCTTGTAAAGAAAATAGGTGTAGAAAGTGCCATGAAAGATTTGAAGATCAAAAGGCTTGAAAAATGTTTCCGGTAGGGTAATGAATGTTTTCTCTAGCTTGCATTAAATTTTATATTGTAATAATCTCGTTATTCTACATTTTCAGTTTTTCTCCTTGTAAAATTAAAAAAAAAATACTATATACTAAATATATGTCGGAGTTAGCTCCTCCTTAGCTCCTTAACCCTTTCACCAGGGGTCTCTCTTCCCTGTCTATAAATACTCGCTGACCCTTCGCCTCTTCCTCTTTTCCTCAGGCTTTCAGCCTTACCACCTCGCAGATGTGAACGCTCACAGATACAGCGTTTCCCAAATGCTGGGAACACGCTAAGCACGATACACGTACGTACAAACACTCACCACAACATACACACACATAATACTCACCACAACACACACACACATAATATTCACCACACACACTCTGTCCATGTAACTGTCCATGTAACTAGTAACCTTTCTTGTTATTAATACATATATTTGTTTACATATATTTATCGGTCTTGTGTTTGTTTTTCTTTGCCTTCTTTGGACTTAATGAAAGTCCAACTTTCTCATGTAGTTGGACCGACTAGCAGGAAAATCTTAACCCACGTGTACTCATCTACTTCTACTCAACGACATCGCCAACACGGTCCTCTACACTTGTAAGGGTGCCGAAGTTCTACTTTCCCAGAGGAACCAGCAAGCTTATGGCCCTCACTAGATGACACCTACCTTGAATCCATCGTAAAAATTCAGAATGTGAAATTAAAAAATTTGAAACTTTTCAATTAATTCGGTGTATGGATCAGTTATAAGGTATTTAGTACAGGATATAAGGAGATTAAAAGGAGGGTAGGTTGCACTCGGAACACTTTTGTCCAACAACGCAAGATACTACAAAACCAAAATATTAATCTAAAAACTCGAATCATTTTTTAAACAGCTTCGTCAGATATAGACTCTCACTTAAATATCATATATGATGATCCGCTCGTTTCATAAATGTGTAAATCAGTGTTTTTGTACATTTTTTTTACTTCAGGGCGCACTTTTAACTAACACCCTGGAGCGCACTTTAAATTTTAATATGGAAAACTTGAAATTTGTTTTAGCATTCCCAAAGAAGATTAACAGTACTGTTTTCATGTAAATGGATTTATGAAGAATCTGCTAATGACTAATTTAAATCACTCGAGTAAAGCAAA